ATAAATACTATTATTTTTAACTCTGTTATAGTTTTAATACAATTTTACTCTTTCCTACGAATAGTTGAGCTTCGACATTGAATTTTTAAATTCTTGGGCAGGCCTCAGTTTGTAATATGATATTCGCAAAAAACTTTGCTTATATTTTTGTTGCCTCAACTGCCGTCAGCCAGAAGAATTCCAGCACAGTGAAAACAAGAATAAAATAAATAAAAGCCAGAAGGAAATGCAAAAGAATGTAAAACAAAATATGCTGTGGCTCCAACATTAATGTCGCGTCCAACTTTGTATGCTTCAGGTGGCAATGAATTTCTGGTGCGTGTCTTGATTGGAAATTGGAGCATAAAAATTGTTTTACAAATTCAGACGCACACACACACCTGCATGTGGGAATGCAGTACGGTATATACAATATATTTATAGCTGCATATGTATTTATATATGTACAATTTGTTTGCATTTATTGTTGTACTTTTGTAGGTTAAAGTGAACAAATGCATCGGCAGAGTCGGGGACATTCCTTGCATAATGACATTGACACATTACACAGTCGAGTCTGCAGGCTTGACATAGTTGTAGGCGCCATTTGGAGCTGCAGAAAAATAACATGCACTATATAGTATACTATACATGCATATATACAGTTTGCCTTAAATATTTGGTGTGTCTGTGTGAGTGTGTGTGAGTGTGTGTGGCACATCATTAGGATGTGTCTGGCAGACGCTCAAGCATTTTGCCTCAAGTGGGCGAAGACTCTGTGTGTCCTCATCAAATCACATATTCCCATCTCTCTCTCTCTGTCTCTATCTCTATGACTGTCTGCCTGCTCTTTTGCTCAGCTGCTGGTTAAGTGCAACAAGTCACTTGGTTTTTGGACACTATTTTACATTTGGCCTTTGACACGCTCTGAGCCGAATCCATTTTAATGAATGCCAAGTGCAGCTGCTTTTAGCTGCATTTTAGTTTGTTAATTATTGATTTTTATGGACTTGATTTATTTATGAGCATGTCTATTGTATACTATTATTATACTGTGCAGGGAAAGTAAGTCACAAAATAAGCAAATATTGAAAATTTGATTTTTTTTTTTCTTATTTTATTTTTGTAATATCTGCGACTTTGTAATTTGATTTGAATAATACAAATTAAATAAATAATATTTTATCATATAGAATATTAAAATATGTGTGACAAATATTTGTTTTAGTTGAATTTATTCTTAAGGAAAATGAAGCTTTATGAATGAAAGGAAAAGCGTCTTAAAAAGAATTTAATTCTAATTTAAAAATTCATTTAAGATGTTTTCATTTATATATTCATATAAGATATACTGTATAGTATAATGAGAAAATGAGTGAGTGACTAGAGAAAGCAAATGAGCTTTCACATATGTATGTGCACTATGAGAGTTATAATCAATATAAGATGGATTTTTAAATTGCTAAATAATCTTTGGCCTATTTCGCAAATGCTAAACCAAGCCAATAATTGCGGTTTAAAATGATGTATATTATATGAGAATATAAAAGGCCGCCAGACATATTACCACAACTGTAGCGTTTTCTTTTAGAGCATTTCCCTCGTCTTCCTTGCTTTTCTTGCGTTTCTTGTCTTCCTTGCCGTCGCCGCCGTCGCGTTTTTCTCGACACTGACAATGTTTGTCGCAGAGTTTGCAATGCACTAATGCAGCCTTCGGGTTTTTTGACATGGCGCCGATTGCGTGACACATACCATCTACGCTGCCAGAGCATATAGTATTTAGTACAGAGCCTGAAATGGAGTGAGGTAGGCAATAGAGTAAGTTACATGATATATGAAGGAGACGCGCAGTTACCAGATATTTTGTAACCGGGACTCAGACATCTATCCATTTTTGGGATAGAGGAATCGCCAGTTGTCTTTCTCACTACCTTGCCCTCGTCCTCCTCATGAACGTACTTTAGAAAAGTCGTGGGAACTTTGCAATTTGCCAATTCATCGCACTTGAAACACCAAGCTTCGCCATTGACATCTGTAAGATTCAGTTGTTAGCCATTCGATTCGGTTCGCTTGTCTATTTGTTCTCTATGGAAGCTTACTGGGAATTACTAAATAAAAAAATGCAAGGCTTAAATGTATGAAAATAAAAAGCGGAATTTGTAATCCATTCACTGTCGAATTTGGCATAATACCTAATTAGAAAATTGTTCGGTAAATCCGAAATTCTATTCCTTTATAAAATGCTTGGCAACAGTTTGCTTAGATTTGTACAATCATTCATGTTCAATTTGAAATTTAATATTTTGCTTTAGATTTTAGTTAGCTTAAGAGTTTTTGCTGTCTAATTTTTGGTTTCATTTCAACTAGAAACTTGAAACCTCTTAAAGGCAACGAATTGTTACAGTGTTATCAAAATATAATTGAAAATCTTTATAATATTTCCTATATGTTTCGAATTTACTTTTCACTTTGTGAACATTCTAAATTACTACTACACTTGCACTCACACTCATACACGCACCCACTGCGAGAGAATTGTATGCCATAATTCTTTGGCCTGGCCGCAACTGTTAATTTATGGCCAAAAGCAAACACAGAAAATAAGTTTCATTTAAGATTGCTGAAACCGCAAAATGTTCGCCTTCGCATATTGAAAATAAATGCGTAGAAATGTAAACTTGAGAGCTTAGCAAAAGTTAAATTTACTTATCATTAAACAACTGTGGCATTCGCATTACGAATCGAGACTCACTAAGCGAATCTTTACGCTTATTTACTTTCATTTCCAAGTATTTCAATAGGACAAACAACAACAACAACAACAGTATCAGCAACAACAACAACAATGTGCAAACATTTGTGCTTCTAGGACCCGCACATAATTCATGCTTGAGGCAATTTGAATGTCCAATAATCAGAAATGCTTCAAGTTTTTGTGCTCGCACTTTGCCCTGACTTTTATTGACTTGGCTTGGCCGCTTTTTGATTTGATTATAAATTAAATAAGTGCCATGACAGCGCACCCAACTGAACCACAAAAGTTGCCCGCAACCCGACTGCCTGGCTGGCTGCTGTCTGCCAGGCCCAACCTTCCGCCTCATTTGATTAAAGTTTTCAGAGCGCTTCATATTGCTCTCGCTCTTACTCTCTCTCTCTCTCTCTCTCTCTCTCTCTCTCTCTCTCTCTCTCTCACTCGCATTCAAATTCTAGTCCTTTCTCTTTGACTGTGGCATAATCAATAATTTATTGAACTTGCCCCTGACCAGTGTAGCAAAACTTTCATTTATTTCTAGCCTCAATTTTTGGTCAGCACGCACACGTGGCGTATGCGTAATCTGTGTATAATCAATGCATTGAACTCGGTCTCGCCATCGCTGTCTCTTTTGCTCCTCTTACTCTGGCACCATAAATATGCCATTCATATGTTTTTGCATACTTTTTATATGTACGTGGCTCTAGGTTCGTATACCCTGAACAGTAAATCATGAAAATGGGAAATCTGAGTACATTGTAGGTGTGGCAGTCCGTATAAGGTATACATTCTTGAGCAGGTCGATCCGCTGAGTCGACTTAGCCTTTCTTTGGGCTTAGTTGCTTTGCCCATATACAAATTAAAACAGTCTCAGATGGAGAGAGAGAAGTAAAATGAATGAAATAGAAATTGATAATTTAATTAATTTGCTTAAATTTCATTATATAAGAATATAGAAAGTTGCCAGGCATATTGTTACAATTAAAGCGTCCTCTTTTATAGCATTTTCTTTGTTCGTGCTTTTACACCCGCAGTATTTATGGCAAATTCCGCAATGGAAAATTATTTCCTCTAGATTTGTTGTTCTCTCGGCGATTGCATGGCACAGCCCATCATTGCTACCAGAGCATATAGTTTTCGCTATAGGATCTAAAATACAATACAGTAATGCAAGAGAGTCGCTTATAGAGTATACTATATGAAACAGATGCGCACTTACCAGATATTTTGTAGCCGAGTTTCAGGCATGCATCTATGTTCGTGTTGTCAAGATCGCCGTCTGCTTTCTTGACTATTTTGCCATCATCGCGACTGTCGACGTATTTGATAAAACTTGAGTCGACTCTGCAAGTTTTCAAATTGTAGCAACCATAACAATAAGCTTCTCCATTCACATCTGTCAAACGTAATTTGCAGTCATTCGAGGCCATAGAATTATACGCTTTATTTGCTTTGACTCTTCGTTATGGTAACTTACTGGGAGCCAAATAAACAAGCGCAAAACTCAAGTATATGTACAAGCATATACTAGTAGGGACTCCAGCCATCATTCAATTTTTTAGCAATACCTAAAGAGAACAAAAAATTTAAATTATCTCAACAGTTCGTAATATTAACTCTTTAAAAAATTCGGAAACAGTTTGCTTAGATTTCTCAAGATTTTAAGTGGACTTTTAGACGTTAAGAACACCATCGTCTCTGATGCAAACCATTTACTGTACACTTAAACGAAGACAAGAAAAGAGCATTAGGCGAGACTGCTCGACTTGGAGATACCGGGAACTCTGCAAAACACGCGCTGCTAACTGCGCAGTAAGCAGCGACTGCTCTTGGGCTGCGCTGCAGTGTGGGCAATATTTTGTGAATGTATTTGTTGCATTATTAATCTTGTAGCGAAACTTTCAGAACGTGATTATAGTGTTAAAATGTTTATATATTTTAAGGCACAAGTCTCTATTACTTTATATACATTGTTTACAAATTGTAGGCGAAGGGGGTGTGCTATCCAAAATCTGTAAATTGCATAATCTCTGTATTGATTAAATGTATATACACAGTGCATCTGAAGCTTATCGGTTCAATAATGTTGAAACTACGCTGAAAAAACTAAATCAGTTTATTGATTAAACTCGATTAAAAAAAAAAAAAAAAATTGAATGAGTATCGAAAAATATGATAAACTTGTACTGTGTTGGTATACATGTAGAAATTCTAGCTCTTATATTTTTTAAGATCTCGACGGACGGGCACTCGAAAATGGCTATATTCTGATTCTGACTGATCATGAATATGAATACTTTAGGGCATCTGCCACGCCTTCTTCTGTCTGTTACATACATTTTCACAAAACCATTATACCCTGAATTTCCATTATTAATGGGTTCAGGCTAAAATTATACCTATTCTTAATATTTTTAATGAGTTCTCAGGCCGGAAAACCCTAAAAATATAGAACATATTTTTAATTTTTTTTTAAGGTAAAATATATTTTTAAAAATATATACATTATTCAATAAAATTTCATTGACATTAATTGAATATTATATAAATATTTCCAGTTTTGTTTTAGATAAATATAATATGTTTATGAAAATTGGAATTCCTTCTATCTGTTGCTGTTTAGTGAATCGTGAATTAATCGTTTTAATATTCTTAAGATATTCTTAGCGTTCTCATTAACATGAGTTTTAATTTGCATGTCGTGACGTAGATGCCCTCTCCTGGGGGAGAGGGCTGAAAACAGTCTGGCTCTAACCCTGCTCAGCGTCTCGAGTGGGTTAGAGCCAGACTGTGCATCCAGCCATTTTTCTGCCCGCCAGTCCCTGTGGCTCATCTCGGCAGCGCGCTTGTTAGTTGCCCAACCAGGCTTTGAGTATTAGTGTCAGATCCAATGAGGTGGCATTTATGTCCACACAGCTGAAACCATATGCAATGCTCGCACTACGCTTCTCCCCCCAGCCCCAATCGACCCCTCGAATTTACGCCTGTCAGCTGCAGCGCTTGTCCCTTGCTGCTAAATGATGCATATTTTATGAAAATTGCATGCTAGAGAGGCCGAAAAATTGCAATGAACTAAATCAGTCAACACTCACAGAGCAGACACACACACAAACACACACACACAGTCAGTTGTTGAAAAATTGAATTTGATGTAGTTTTGGGTGTTCGCTTCTCTGTTTTGTTGTGCGAATTTTTAAAGTCGAACACGTTTCGTTGGCTGGTTCTCAATGCTCAATCCCATTTATTATTATTTGACATGCATAATACAGTTTTTGGACCTGTTTATAAATATTGAAATAGACGTCAATAACATTGTCCCACACAATCGGGTTAGCCCAAACCGCCCAACCCGCCCAAGTGCGCTGTGCGTGTCGCACCCAAAAATCTGTTAATAATGATGCTTGACATGTGTGTGTGTGTGTGTGTGTGTGTGTGGAGATGCTGTAGCAGAGGAAAGCAGCACGAAGCGAAAAGCTGACGCATTTGTGCGTGTGAAATATGTTTTGTCAACTTATTAAATATGCTCAATCTCTCGTCGTTTCTTTCTTTCCGCCTCTTCCCTTTTGTCGAGCCCAACGAGGACGTGCTGTGGCATTTGAATGTCAATGCGAATGCCAAGAAAAGGTTTAGCCCGTGATGCGGTAACTGAATTGATGGTTAAATTATAAGGTGTGGCTGCCAGCACAGCGCAAACTGAAAATAAAGTGTGCAGATTTAGTGTCGGGTGAACTGCAATAAATTACAACTTAATAATGTTGTTTATAAAGCAAATTCTGTTTGCATTTCCTAACTTGAACAACAACAGAGATGCGTAGTCGATTTTAAAAACTTTTATCGCTGACCTATTAACGATCCCCATAAAAAGGGAAAACAGTGTTTTATCAATGCTCAGGTGCATCGAGGGCATTACACATTACGTATACGCACAGCTATCCGCTTAATGTATTCACGATGCGCTCGACTGTAAATATTTGGCAATTAACAATGCAGTGCATTTATAGCTTAATTGGCATTAATTTAAATATAATTTGCTTAACATGCATTCCTCAATGCCAAATTAACACGCACACTCACACACACACACTCGCATGACATTTACCTGACCAAGTTTTTGGGGTCAATCGCTCGGCCAGAGCGTGTTTATTATCAATTGCCGAGCGAACGAAATGGCACGAAGCAGAGAAGTCGCATAAAAGAGATGTTATTGCAATGCACTTGGAGTACGGGCTTAGGGTCTCTGCTCTCAGTCCTCTGAGCACTTATTTTTATGTGGTTGAAAACAAAAAGATATTTTATCTATGCCAGGCGACAGCAGCCGCCTGTCAGCCATCTGGCTGCCTGTCTGTCTGCCGGTCTGTCTCTCTATTTGCCCCAATGTATTTACAGGTAAGAGCTAACAGGTAAAAAGCATTGAAATGTGCCCGTGTTTTGTTTGGAAACAATCTGCTTTTTATTTTGAGCGTCTCGTTGGCGCCAACGAACCAAGCAGCGCTCGCTTTTAATGGACTAGACAACAACAGTAACAGCAACAACAACAACTGCGTTGGCGACAACAAACAGGCGCCATGCGCTACCCCTTTGCCACCCCTGTTGGCTTTCTGTTGCCCTCAGCTCACTTAGCCCCAGTCCCACTGCGATGCGTGTGTCTAGCATTTTTGTCTCCATGTTCACTTTATGTGCTGCAGCTATCAGCTGTCTAGGTGGGAGTGTGAGTGGGTGTGTGTGCGGGTGTGTGTGTGTGTGGCTGCTGTATAATTATGCCATTAAATTTGTGCATCGAGCTCATAACTTTTATTAGCTGTGACATCCACAAAATCTTTCATAGCGACAATTGTGAAAATATTTGAAATTTATGCGCAAATTCTGAAAAGCAATTTTCATATTAGTCATGGCAAAGTTAAACAATTTGATAACTATTTTAATTGATAATCAAAAAATTAACTTGAATTGCTTATTAAGCAACCAAATGTATACCGTAAACCCGTTGAAAAAAAAGGAAATATTGGTGTAAGGGTTTGATTCAAATGGATGTAAAGTCTATATATACATACAGTTTACACACATATATTCTAGATCAGCATGATAAACTGAGTGGATCTAGCCATGTTCGTATGTCCTTCTGTCCTTTAATTTAATAATTTTAAGTCTTTACAAATTTATTTAATTTACTTCAGCATAAATATATTATAATTATATTAAGCTATAATTATCCGTAAACATTTGTATATATCAATAATTTATATAGAACAGTTTGTAACATCAAAGGTGGCCTTGACTGGATCTTGAAAATTTGAACGGCATATGGGTCTCCATACTCCGTACATATCGTCAGTACACAATTGCTGCTTCAAGCAGTAAAACACATTTCCAATTTTTTTAAAAATCAAAAAAAAAAAAAAAAAAGTTAAAAATTATAAACCGAAAAAAAGAAAAAAAAATAGCTGCGAGCAAATAAATAAAATAAATAAATCCCTGCTTGAAACACATTTTAGTATAA